CTTACACCAGAGCCGTATACATCACAAACCTGTGCCAATTGCTTGCGCCGTCTGCTTCGATCAGTCACAATAACCGGTGGGAGTCTCACATCCTTGTGTGGGCGACAATCTTTGCACACTTTGAATCGGTCACTTTTTGTGCTTCTCGGAAATCGCCGCAAGCAATTGGCACAGGTTTGTGATGTATACGGCTCTGGTGTAAGCACAACATCCGTTTTGCCGTTCTTTTTTAGGCTAACTATGAACTTTCGCTGATCCGGTGATCGTTTTGTTCTTTTCACACCGATTTTCGAATTTGATGGGAACGCCGCATCACCAAGGAATACAACTCCTGTCTCATTGTTTGTTATGTGTTTAGCCATCAAATCCATTTCGCGATTAGTCTCGATGTACTTGTGCAACGATAGCTGTGCGTATTTTCTTCTGGCGTATGTAGCCAATGAATCTGTCAGCATTTTGATTTTGTGCTTAATGAATGATTTCCATTGTGATCCTCGCGGCGATACGGATGTGATCGGATAGCTTTTCAAGTCGCGCTGTTCTTTGTGCACGTACTTTCTGGTCATTTTCGTGGCCTGTTTGTCGCGCATTCCTTGTGATATTGAATACTCGATAATTTGATGTTGGTCTGTAAAATGAACAACAACAATGCAAATCTATGTTAATTTTCATATGATATTTCAACTTACTTCAATTCCAGTAGCGAGAGTCCGACGCACGCAGGCCATTTTTGTTTTCTGGCCGGGATCAATTCCTGACTCATACTTGTAACCGCCTTTGCTGACTGGCTTTTCGTACTTTGCTTTGTTTTCAGACAGAGTCACGCCGGCTCCTTTGCGTTTGGGTCTGCTAAACAACACCGACACGGCACTACTGTTGGTTTGAATTTTGTGGTAAAACTCTTTCGAACCGGTTCTGAGCCGTCTGATTTTGTCCATATCGAACACAATTCCCCATGCCTCGTCTTTGTTCTCGCCTTGCTTGTAGTATGTACGATAATCAGCACGAATATCCCATCCCCGTTCTTTTCTCAACTGGCCAATGATATCAATCAAATCTTTATGGTCGAATGGTATGTGCTTCAGTTTTGTATCACTGAGTGGAATAGCGGCGAAATTCTTCACTTTTGGTATCTTCGGTACCGACGGCTCTCGATTGTTCACTGGATCACGATCGTATGCTTTCCACTGTTCACGAAGGTGAGCCGTATCGATCGAAAATTTTTCAACAATTCGTTGAATGCCTATCCACATCCACAAAGACTCGAACCAGTCCTTTTGAATGTATTCGTACATTGTGAAGTATTTTACGAATGATGGGCCACAAAGCTGAGACACTTCCTTAAACAGTATTTCCATTTTCGACTTTCGACTTTCATCATCATCATATGTCCAATCTTCATTGTACATCAAATTTTTCATCGTATTTCGAATGTCAATGTCATCGAAAGGCAAGTATGATGCATTATAAATAACGTCAAGTGGGCTTCCTTTGTGATTGAATTCATGGCACTTTACACATAGAAAGTGGGTCAATCTCACCCAACAGTGCGTCTCCAAATTTGTCTTCAAATTGGTCACATACTGGTCCTTGAGAGCATAAACTTGGCGAGTCATTTGATGGCGGCGTGGCCATTCAAAGTTGGGGCTACCTTGTGTCACCATCGCGAGAAATGCGTCTGGCATTTGGGCTGTGAGTGGATCGTTGATGTTGTCCGATGTGACACAGTTGAAACAGTCCGTTATCAAATTTGCTCCATTTTGATTCGCGAAGAAGTCCAAATTGCCATCATCGAATGCTTCGTTGATTGTGTAGAGCATTAACATCGATGCAAGATGCATGACTTTCGTAGCATTCAAGCATTTCTCGAAGAACTTATGGATCAGAAATCCTGTTTCTGTTTCTGTTAAGTTCGGATTAATTATCGAATTAAATGCCAATTTGATCGCGCCGATTTCGATTGTGCCATTTTCTGTCGACTGTTTTTCTGGATCTTCTTTCCGATTGACACGTTTTTTCTTCACAATTGAGTGCTTTTTCATCTGGACTTTGTTCTCCCTTGGCTTACCAAACGTCTTATTGTGCCGCTTACGCCTCGCCATCGCGATGGATCTAAACGAGAGAAAATAAATTGTAGAACGAATGAAATGTTTGTTGCAAGCGATTAGCGATTGTGAAATTGGTTAACGCTACGGAAATCGAAAACAATGCACTGATTGATCGCTTTAAAC